TCTGTTAGACCAGCACGCCTCAAAACCGAATATGCAAAATTCGGTTGTAAAACGATTTCGGTTTTGGCGCCTACGACTCCCTCCATTTTGTTTTGCATGGCAACCCTTGGAAATCGAATCAGATTTTCGGAATGCAAAACACTGAAAATGCCGTTTTTCGGCACGCACTTTTTTTCCGAAAAAGACAGTCGAAAAACATTCCGAAATTTGGTATGCAAAACCTCTCTAGTAGAACCACCATCATAATAAAAAGCCGAATTGCCAGGTATGAAAGCTTTTTTTCTTTGAAGAACAAACAAATCATGAAAAATTTCACTAATTATGTGATGGACAAAGAAGAAAATGGGATTTTTCACTCACAAAGCGACTGTTCAGTACATGGGGTAGTGGTCTACCAGAGCAATCACACTCACCACCGTGGTGGTTTTCCAGAAATGAGTAGAAGCAAAAAACCACACTCGCAGCCAACAGAATAGATAAATAGCCGAAAAACATCTCAATCCATCAAAGAACCGCCAGCAAGCGGGAGAAAAGGCCGTGAAATCAAGTGAAACAGCATGGCCAGTGGTGAGCATGGGTGACTGGGCAGCAGGGGAGCGCCTGAAAACAATGACTCCCTACATTCCTAGCCGCGACCGCTCAACCGGGCTAGAGGAAAAACACGCCTTTCGGCCAAAAAACCTTTCTATTTTCATTAATTCCTGCCCCGCTGCCAGTCAGACCCAAGAATAGAGATAGCAAGAAATGGTATGTAATAACCGGTGTATGTCATAATCATAAGCCACACACATAGGCATAGATTGTCAAGAAGAACAGCGGACGACTCCCATGAAACCAGGGTGGGTGGGCGGGCGACTTCAACTACCACGAGGAAAAACAAAGACCACGATGGCAGGTTCAACGGAGTTGCGCAGAACAAGAGCAAATGCACAAAAATATTTGTGAGTGAAAAATACGTTTTTTGCACTCTTTCGCTACGCTCAGCCGTGAAAAAACAAAACTTTTCACTCACAAAGCGACTGTTCAGTACATGGGGTAGTGGTCTACCAGAGCAATCACACTCACGATGTAAAGGATAGTGAGGCCGATAGGAGAGCAGCACACATATATTTGGACAAGGAAAACGAGCAGTGTGGCGCATGGCGCCAGTGTGCCAAAGTCTTGGGCACTGTGACCACCATCTGTGGCCAAGTGTATAGTTACTACGAACATTATGGAGACCCGGCCAGACTTGCCCTGGGATGCTCACTAGTGGGCAAGGTTGGGTCCGGTGGCAACCGGGCGAGCACACATCAGCCAGGAGAACATGATCAGCAGTGCACTCCGAGCAGACAAAATCTCTGCGAAATGCCCGAAAGTTCCCCTGCTAGGTTGCGAGTGCTACATCATGGAGTAGTACTGCCAGTAAATTCAATGTGAGGTGCTGTACTTCCGTAATTGGGCTGGACGTCCGTTCAGTTCCTGCAAGAGAAGGAATCCTGTATCGAATGCACACGTCCGCCCCTCACACATTTACTGCACACACATGCACCCTTACGCACATTCACTGTACCCACACACACACTCACCGTACCCACACGTACTGTACACACACACACACACACACACACACACACACATACTGTACACACACACACACACGTACTGCCAGTGCACGTACACTCCTCCGCGTGCCCCGACAAAAAACGGGGTGAAAAGCTGGTACCGAGACATAAAAACCCACATACCTCTATGTAAATCTCACTCTCTCTCTCTCACTCGGTTTCAACATGTCTGTGATCATTCATAACCACATGATCGTTCATCAAGTCATACACCATCATGTGTCATCACTGACCATCGGGCTTCTCTCTCATCATGGCATCAAGCCATACACAACCATGTGCCATCACTGCCCATCGGGCTTCTCCCTCATCATGGCATCAAGCCATACACAACCATGTGTCATCACTGCCCATCGGGCTTCTCTCTCATCATGGCATTAAGCCATACACAACCATGTGTCATCACTGCCCATCGGGCTTCTCCCTCATCATGGCATCAAGCCATACACAACCATGTGTCATCACTGCCCATCGGGCTTCTCCCTCATCATGGCACCAAGCCATACTCATCACTGCCCATCGGGCTTCTCCCTCCCCCTCATCATGGCATCCAGCCATACACAATCATGTGTCATCACGGCCCATCGGGCTTCTCCCTCATCATGGCATCAAGCCATACACAATATTGTGTCCTCACTGCCCATTGGGCTTCTCCGTGATTATTGCATCAAGCCCTACGCAATCATGTGTCATCACTGCCCATCAGGCTTCTTACTCACTCCGTCATCACTCACATACACACTAAATAATGGCAAGCCGGGTTACCCATTTATACACCACACAAGGCCGTTCCCAATCGCTTGCATCATGTCCAGTCGTGGGTGATCCGGTGTCTGTTCCACGGCCTAGGTACTGGCTTGGTACTGAAAGGACAGCAAGAGGAAAACATATATAAATGCTTCATTAAGATTCAACACCGAAAACATAAGGACGGCATGCACGAGCAAGATCAAGATACGTAAAGCTTTAACCAGTTGACTTGGCCTGGCAGCTGACTGGGGTGTCTCGCACACCTTACACAATCAAAGTGGTGGCTTAACTTTTATGAATTGGTTTGGCGTTACAACAGTGGAGTTGTGCAGTGTACCATCATGTTACCTCACCTCGCACATTGCAGACTGCAGCGACCGAGTGAGGACTACGCGCTACCTGCCGCTTTAGTTATCGCTCCGTCTGGAACGTACACTTATTTTGAGCGTGTTCAGGAACCGTAGTCTTACTCTCTGGACGAAGGAAACTTGGACAGTACTGCTTCCCAACCTTGGTCAACATCGCACGCCCCCCTGCGGTTGCTGTCACATTCTCTGTTGTGTTGTTGTCGCTTGCTGTAATAGCACATGACTATTGTCGTACATGTTTGCACTCATACAATCCCAGGCTGTACTTTGGAACTGTTTCCATTGCCCATGTACTCCTTATTCTTTGCTTGCTTTTATGCTGAGAGAACATATGCTGGCTCCCTGTACTGCTTAGCCGCGTACTCATTCGGTAGAAATGTGTGAATAATACTACTAATAATCTGACGTGAGTGAGGTGGATGGGCACCTCAGGAATACAAGTTTGAAGTCAGCAAGCAGTCAACTTTTGCGTGAATTTCTTCTGGAACCATGTCTGGTGGGCCCCACCCGTGAAAAAACAAACAAACAAACATTTGTCTCGTCCTGCCGGCCAATTGTCCCCCCCTTGTGTGTCCGATGGCTGCGGACGTCGATTACACCTGGCCGTAAATCTACTAGCATTTTGCACGATGTTTGACTTGGACAACATTTACTGCCATGCCATTGTTGCCCGATTTTTGTACTCAGACTGACAAACTAACTACTCTTGTTGTTCATGGTTGTCTCTACAAACACGATACAGTCATGTCCATCGCTCTGCACATCCATAACATTCTGATGGTCCCGTGACATTGATCATGCACCCTGTGTAGGGCCTAGGGCGGTACGGGCTGGGCGTTTGTTTGCTCCCTTGAATACGACGGCATGTACACCCCTTTCGATTGTGTCAACTACATGATTATGTACTTCGTAAATTATCGAAAAAACATCCACAGTCTCAAGTACTGATACTTATCTTTTCTCTCCGGTCCATGTGCGGTGCGAAAACTGGCTGGCTGTCCCAGTGAACTCCGGTTGGTGTTGTCAACAGACAGCTACGACCTTGCTGCCCTTCGCCACGATATCAGACAACTACTTCAGTATGACTCCGGTGTCACCTCTGCCAGGAGCTTCGCCACCATTTGGGACACGATGTTGTGATCGACAGCGCTCATCACCGACTCCGTAGACTCTCGATCTCATCACTGCGCCCACGGAAAACTCTCAAGGACTCGCTGAAGCCTTTGAGGAGTATGGTTGCGGTACAGGTAGATGTCGACTCGACATGTCGGAACTGAGTGACCAATTGTTTTGTCAACTAAATTTTACTTCCACAATCTTTGCTGGTCGTCCGAAACGCCCTGATTTGTGTAGCTGTCAACGGTGACTCTGCTCCGCCTGGTACCAAGCTTGCTTGTGTGTGGCGGATTGCGCTCAGCTCGTTTTAGCTGTTTCCGCCTTTCGCAGATCGATCTGCGGCTCCCAAAAACGTCAGGTTACTGGTACATCAGCTTGCAGGCCCAATCAGGCGATGTGGACCTTTTGTAGGCTGGACCGATTCATTATAGACGGTGCACGGCACTGTCATTTCTTTCTTCTGGACTATTACACTGTAGATCTACTCTGAAAAAATAATAAGATGAGTTGTGGTGTTGTGTGGCTGCGAGTGGAAACTAAACACTGGAGCACTTGAAAACTTCAACTACCACGAGGAAAAACAAAGACCACGATGGCAGGTTCAACGGAGTTGCGCAGAACAAGAGCAAATGCACAAAAATATTTGTGAGTGAAAAATACGTTTTTTGCACTCTTTCGCTACGCTCAGCCGTGAAAAAACAAAACAATAGTATAGCAGTTGGTGATGGACAATGATGGAAATTCAAAAACCTAGTTATTGTACAGCTCTCATCAGGAAGAAAACATTGTTCTAAATAACACAAATTAGGCCGGAGGACTAATATTTTGAATTTCTTAAGTGAGAAATAACGCCTGTATAAAGGCTATCATCCGCACCCTGACACTCTCCTACCTCAACTCACTGCCTGACACTCTCCTATCACAACTCACTGCCTGACACTCTCCTATCACAACTCACTGCCTGACACTCTCTTATCTCAACTCACTGCCTGACACTCTCCTATCTCAACTCACTGCCTGCACCTTCACTTCCTGTGTTGTACCCCTCTGTACTCTCATCCTCCCTGTCCAATTGCCTATCAAGCCTGCTGCAACACTCTGTTCACCTCTTTGTTGACTGTATTCCTTGTTGTTCTGGAAATCAAATGTGTTTCTCTTCCAGGTCCTACATCAGGATGGGTCTTACGTGAAAACGACTGGTAACGCTGCTATCGGTGACTCGTATGGTGTTGCAGCACTGTCTCTGCCCCAGCATGGTATTTGTTATGCTGTAACCAATATCAATGACGGTTGTGTGAGAGTAAGTTAGTGCTTGTGTGGTGTTTATTGCTGAGATTTCTCAGAATTCTAATTTGATGGTTGCTATGATTAGCCCCAACATGGACTTTTTCTCTGTTCTAACAGCAGAGCAAGTAAATAGGTACAGCGTTTGTTTCGTATCTGTACATGTGGTGCGAAAGGTGCCATATATTTTTCTAAAACTCCTCCTTTTCCCAACACAACACCAGCACAACACAAAAACCTCTAGGAGAAAAAAATTGTAGTACAGATAATGCAAGTTAGCAGTGAAGAGAGAAAGAGAAGAACAAGAGGAAGAACAAAATCACCAGCACTTAGTCCAGGAAAAGACACGTGAAATATGGCATGCAAAAGGGCGGCAGAACAACAAGTAATATCTCGTCGTGGCTGAAGCAGCTAATGCAACGACAGCCACCACGAAGTGCATGAAATAGATCTGAACATGAAGTGAAGAAAACAGCAACTCCAACAAAGAAACAAAACAAGATCAGCTACGTGACTAACCACAGCGTAAACAGCATTCGGCCTTTGAAAGTGTCTGCATTGATATTCACCATCATCATTGTGCTCTGTAGCCGATGACACACATCTACTCACTTGCCCAATACAAGGCACAAGAGGTTTCTTCGAGCATTGAGGTTTTATTCCTTCTGGCAGATGTTTTGGTCACTAAGACTTCATCAGAGAAGGTTGAGTTGTTGAATGACTTGAAAAGAAACAATCACCTAGTTTATACTGACTCTTCCATGACTGTATGAACGTGAGCTAAATGAGACATGCGCTAGAAGAGAGAGCCGATGGTGCAGTGTAGATAGGGAGAGCATGGGGTTGATGCCAGGTGAACTACAAGTACTAGCATGACTGCTGTATCCGTGTTGTGTTGCAGTATCCGGCAGTAACTATCACCTCTTTGCAGAGTGTCCCATGATTTCAGAAACCGGTTAACATTTTAACACCTTGCATTCACACTTCCAGTATCAAGTGCACGCTCATCAGCGCACTATCTCTCATTTCAAGTGCCAATATAACATATTTTAACGAGTGGACGGTTCGACGGACATCTCGTGCACTCTAGATGGCAGTAGTGAGTTAGGCAATTGAGAATTCAAGTTGGCAGGGAAATTGCGAGCTCCCATGTAAGGAGCAACACACATTTACCCAAGTATCACTTAAGTCGCACCAACATCTTCTTCACAGTATAAACTAGGCGACTATTTCTTTTCCAGTCATTCAACAACTCAAATTTCTCTGACGAGGCCTTAATGATTGAAGCAATTGTCAGAAGGAATAAAACTTCACTGCTGGAAGGAGTCTCTTGTTGCTGTTGTGTGCTAGCGAGTGCATGTATGTGGTCGTCCACAGAGTGTAATAATGGTGGTAAAATATAAATGTCAACGCAGCTACCTGACTATCCACAACAAAGACATAAGCAATGACATCATCAGTCACGCTCGAATTCCGCATGCAGCCTTGCAGGCGCTGGTAAAATGGATAACACGGAAAGCACGGAAATTAATAACACAACAAGCGATCGTGGCAGGGAAACAAATACAATTCAAATAAACTATTTCAAAGAATGATGGAAAGTGAAACGACTAGCACTAAAATGAGAACAGAACTCAGAATAAGAACAATGTAGGCCAAGTGGAAGCAGATAAGGATTGGTCTGGCCATGCCTAAAGTGATCATGGGTCATATAAAATCTTGTAGGACGCATCACGCAGCTTCATAAGACAAGTAAAAGATTGGTTGTGAGCAACACTGGCTCACAACCAATCTTTTACGGGTCATATAGTTAGTCAATCATACACCACTGGAACAACGGCCAAAACCTGGCACTTACCCGGTATGAGTTTGGCCGTGAGGTTGTATCAAAACCACGGAGTAGAAAAACAACGGTTTTACAGTCGAAATGGTTCATTGACCCAGTTATTTAAATGCAATTGAAGCCTGCAGAAGTCACATCTTGAACAGTCAGACGAGCACGTATGCACGACTGTTCAAACGCCGAGTTTGGGTAGACAGCCACTGCTGGCAGGGACATTTTGGCAGAACAAGCAAAAACAGTAACTTCCCGGGTACGACGGGCTTTTCGAGTGCTCCAGACGCAGTCGTGATTCGGTTAAGTGTCAGGCCAGTCGACAGGAAGCGCGAGCTCCGACATTGGGAGAATGCAGTTTCTTCACAAATGTACCGCTGACTCATTGTCGTAACATCTTAGCTCGACTTCCTACACACTCCTCAAAACATTTCCTACCACTCCTCAATGGCTCAAAGACTTCTAAACTCTCTGACTAACGCTTTAGTGCTCGGGATCAGCTATCAGTTGATCGACAGTTTTTTTCCATTTTCGATGTGATGTTTCCAAGAAAAAATATCTGGGCCAAAAAGTTGGTCCGGCCATGACTGGATCGTACAGACCAGTTCCGCTTGCCGTTAAATTGAAGCAGACTACGGATGACGCTGCATTGAAGTAAGAGGCATGACACACTCATGATAAATGGCACCACAACAAATACTTCCTCCTTTAAGCAAAACTTCGTTGCGTTTTTACAGTTCAGTCCGAATCATTCTATGGCTTTGAACACGCTTTGCAAAGTGGAAAACAAGGCAGCATATGAACGATATTTACTTGCAGATGTCACACAGTTCGTTTAAAAGCAGTCCAGCTTCACTCTTTGTCTCAATATAATGACAACTCACTCCCTGATAACATTGAGTCTGCATCCTCTCTGACTTTCACCGCCAGCGCTTCCATCTTTTGTTCCGCAGCCTTAACAAGTTTCCAAGACACGATTATTTTGATCGTGGAGATCGCCAAGCTCTTCGCTCGAAATGTGAGCTTGACAACCTCAACGGTGGCACTGGTAGTTGTGGCCACTCTCCGGAACGCCATGAAAGGAGCCATACAGACCCAAACAAACGCTCACCATCTTCACAGCTGTGTAGTCGTGCCAGCACGTTTCCACACCCTGCAGAAGCTCCTTTCTGGTTTCTTTCGCCACGAGTGACACGTCTGTCTACAGGCTGTGGAAGAACGCCAAGCCGTAGACGTTGAGATCAGGATTTTGCGCCGACTGAACAACAACCTGAATGTCGACTGCTTTTGATTTCCCCTGCGCTGCGAACACAAGTGCATTGATTTTGGCTGTGTGCGGATGCGCACCATCGACTCAGCCTGAGCGCTGGCCGGCTCCTGGACACTTCTTCGAGCCACGCGGTCTTTCAAACTGTTTCTCATTTTCGCACTTTGGTGTCATGCGCGCTTGCCTGGGGTTGTGTTCTGGTGACATCCTGTCGAGAAACGGTTCTGCTTCGCCGATTTTTTTCAAAGGACTCCACGCTTTCCGGAGGTTCAAAAGATTGTCAGAACAATGGACGACAACCGTCAGCTACCCTATGTAGGGGATAGATCACTGACATGTATGTCTAATGTCGACAGAAATTTCATTACAAGAACACTAAAAACGCAACGAAGTTTTGCTAAGCGGAGGAAGTACATATCATAATATTAGTTTCTACACATATTGACATTGTATTGTCAGAAACAGTCAGAAGAATGCTGATAGCTCTAGTGACATCCAACATCCGGATATTTAGCTCATCATCACGTGTATGAGTGAATTTCTGTAGTGACAAACTATCACCTGCCAAATTTCCAAATTCATTCAAGTTGGATCTCTTTTTCACTGGTTGGCCTACATGATCCTCTATGATATTTTCGCAGAGGGACCCTCCGTTCATTGGATATTGGACAAAGTCAAATATCTGCCTAAAGTATGCACTGAAACAAGGAACAAAAATTAATGACTTGCACAAAGATCTGAGCCGTGAGTGAGACAGAGCAACTCTCACCTAGCTCAGTACACCCAGCATGCAGCAGTTATTGTGCCTGTTAACATCGATGGACACGAGTCATAAAGTACAGTCCATGTGGCTTTACTTTTCTGGACTTTCTACTAGTTCTTCTCAATTTAAGTGGTATGACGCTCCAGTCCGGTATGAAGACCAAAAAATCAGCCATAGTTTTGCTATTGTTGATAAGGAAGAGGAGTCATACTCGCAGACACAACGAACAACGAACAAAGAACAACGGGAACGGGTAGTTGGGAAGACATTTATTATAGATGAAGAGACGGTGACAAAGACGAACGAAGCAACTACATTACGAAAGAGAGAGAGCGAGATCGAGGGAGTGCGGCAATATGAAGGCCATGTGTAGCTATGGCAAACATGGGCGCGCAAGTAGCTACCCAGGTCAACGGAACAAAAGTTGACAAGAGGAGAAAGGTGAGTACGAGTGTGCATGCAGGTCAGCTTGGAAAAGGTTGTAGAACATACGGGAGGATGTACCTAACACAATTCTAAATGGAACAACAGTAAAGGATGAAACAGTTCATCTGAACAACCCCAGGACAATCCACAATCACAGCAAATGATTATCCAAGTAGCTTGGTACAATCCAACTCGGTCATGTGGATGATTCTGTAAGTTATCAGGGGAAGCATATTGTTCGAAACAGCAGTAGAAAATCTTCAGTGTACAATCATCTGCTAGCTAGTCCTGATCGTTGCGATTCGTATTCCGACTCTTGCTTCACTGTATTGTGCCGTGGTCGTCAGTGTTGTGGACTACAGTTAAAAGTTTTGAAAGCCATATATCAGCCTTTGTACAAGCCTAATAATATTAGGCTTGTACAAAGGCTGATATATGGCTTATATGTGTACAGAAAGATAACATAATATGGTTGAAAGTGTTCACGTAATGTGTCGGGTGTGGTGTGGTCAAGCTTGGCCTTTGGTTTTCTATGCGAAATGTACCGCTGTTTTGTGTTCTCATTTTGTCCTTCTTTCTTTCTCTTGTTTTTCATTTGCAAGTTGATTGTTAGCACACACACTCGTGATTGCTCTCGCTTTTTTAAATTGTTAAAATTCACACAAGTACGCACTAAGTGAATTTCACGGTTTATGGCCTATGCACTGTCATATGGCTAGGGTTAGA